CTGGTTTTCATGCTTGAGGTGGGATTAGAACTCACCATCTCCTGGTGATTGGCCAAAGTCACCCAGCTGGCTTTCCCACCTGAAAAGCGGTACTAGAACTCACAGTCTCCTGGTGTCTACACCAGCCCTGCTATATCCATCTGGAGGTCTCATATGCCTCATTTTCACACTACTGAACCTTAGCTCACTTAATAAGCCAACTAAGCATGGGGATCTGAGATTGGCTTGCAACCCTGGGTATGTGTTTGCTAGCTCTCTCCATCTTTTTTATCATTATATATTTTTCTACTTGGATTTTTTTTAAACCACTCAGAGTCACTTATTGTTCCGACCCAAACCTGGTTCTAAGAGAGTAAACATAAGACAAAGGTAACAGCACAATCTTTTACTGTTTCATTTACAAATCCTGTTTCTTCACAGATAAAAGGCTGCTTCCAACTAGTTAGCTCCGACAAGAAAGAGCCTTGCTAAGTTTTTGCAAGGCTGCCAGGAACAACAGATAAAGTTCCTAAACAGTAAATCAAAGAGTCTCCAAACACCAACTCAGATATATTCTAATGTCCACAAGTCTTGAGTGCAAAAACTTCTTTGCTTCCTGCAAAGAACTCAGATTTCTCAGCTGGCTTTTATCTCTTGAGGGAGGGGCCATTACCTTACAGCCTTACTCCCGAGTGGCCGTGCTGCTGCTGCAGCTACTCTTTCCTTCAAGCAGCCCTGCACCTCACGGGCCTCTTCATCACTGCTGCCAACCTCCACAATCTCCAAAGGCAGCACTCCACTCCCTGATGGTCCTGGCCCCATCCCTGCATGACACGCAGGGCCCTCATCCCAGTCCTCACTCTCCGAGACCTCAACCATCCACACCTGCTGCCGGCGAACCACAACACTTATAGAGTGAGACAGGCAATGTATAAATTTGATCCATTAGTTAATAATGTGCTGGATTCCCACAATACCCCCAACTATAGAACGAGCAAATTGTGATGTATGGTAACTTCTAAGAGGCCACGACCCTGATGCATATTTTCCAAACAATTCTGCCTGTTCAGTGTCTCATGGTATAGGAATCTACTAATTTCCCCCATGGTCACAGTAACCCGTTTTTTAAAAAGTTCCCTTTTCTACTCCTCCTTTCCAAACA